CAGATGGCCTTGCCTCACCAAGTCTTCTAAGTGTGCTTTTAGGGCTCTGCAACCCTGAGTTGGGTGCCCTTCTTCATTGTGGTAAGCACAACGCCTACCGACATTTCTTCCCATAAATGCCCCTGGTGTTCTTGTCGGTGCTCTGAAATAGGGTTGGTTTCGTATTTGATCCAGGACTTTGTGGATCGGGACTCGGAATACAGTCGTCACTGCCTGTTTAGCCCTCAAGTCCATTTCTTGCTTGATCGGTCCATTGTTACCTTGGCTTCACTTCGGCGAGCCGTTTCCTTTCTCCTGCTTTGCCTCTTTGTTTCCCGATGTATCCTCTTCGGCTCTGGCGTACTTTTCGATTCTTGCCATGAGTTCTTCCATGCTTTTTGGCAATGTCTTTGCTAGAGACTTCCGTAGTGGGCAGTCATCTTTCAGGCCGTTCTTGAAAGACACGACTGCCACCTCTTGGTTGCATTTAGGTATTCGATTGAACACTTCGTAGTACCTTTTTGCGTAGGCCCTAAGGCCTTCATCCTTGGTGATTTTTAAAGCCATCAGTGCGGCGACCCTCTAGGGTTGTAGTTTATTTGTCACAAACCTGGCCACAAACATCTCGGCCAGACCTTCCCAAGTCTTTACGCTTCCCTTCGGTAGTTTATGGAACCAGTCTGATGCAATCTCCCCGAAGGATGAGGGGAATACTTTACAGAGCAACGACTCGTTCCCACTATATAATGTCATTGAATTTAGGTATAGTCCAACGTGAAAGTTGCGATCTGACTTACCATCATATATTTGGAACCTCGGCATACTGAACCTCTTTGGTGCTTTAAATTTATCCAGTTCTACTGAGAATGGTGTTTTCGGCTTAACCGGGGAAGTTACCTCGGCTTCAGCATTCTGTTGCTTCCTCTTGAGGTAATCTCTCAAGTCTTCTTTACTCCTCCCTGGAACTCGGCTATCTTTGGACTTCAATCTTTTCGACACACTACTTTCGGCCTCGTGGTGGGCTCGTTTTGATCTTTCTTCATGGGTTGTGTCAAAGCAGAGTGTCTGCCCTTGAACATGCCGATGTTCTTTGAGTTCTAGGTCCTTTGTGTGATACGTCCTTCCCTGGAAGGTCGGTGAGAGTACCTTCCGCTTCTGGTGTGCTGAGGGGCTTCGGGGATTATTTTCCTTCCTCTCTTCTGGGTATTAGTTGCTGGAATCGACGTGTCGTGCGGTGGGTATGGTGGCTGCATGACATTGTTTTGCATCATGAAGTTAACAACCGACTGCAGGTTTGCCAACTTGTTCTCCAATTCTTTTACTTCCTCATCCCTCCGTAGGCACCTATCCCTTCATACCTGGAGGTTATCTTCGTTATAGTACTTGCTTTGGTCTGTCTTCTTCGAAGTGTCGCCCTCCTGGCCGACGTCTTTCTCTCTGTGGCCCTGGTCATGTGTTTTTGTATTGTGGTTGTCTCCTTCAACGTCAAGGTCAATTGGTTTGCCACTTCCAGCAGGAGTGTCGTCCCCAATCTTTTCCTTCTGTCCGTTGCTGGCCATCTATTCTTCTAAGTTTCCACAGACGGCGCCAAATTGTGTGAGTGATTTTCTGATCACACTGCTCGCTTAGTAATCAGCTAGAGAACACTGGCAGAATAGATGGCTTCAGTTATCCTGCAACAGAAAGAAAAGGCTCCGGCGGTGGCTCTTCCATCCGGGGGCACTCCGACGATCTAGTCAGTATATCTCTCAAAGATAATCAAGTGCTAAACTCACTGCTCAAAGCATAAATTGCGTACCTTAAACCCACGGGGGTGCCTCTCTTTCCTAGTCCCACAAGAAGCCTGACTTCTATGGACTCCAACTCAGTACATACTTTGGACTCTTCAAGAGATAAAGATAAACTCCCTAAGAGTTTTATCCTCATCTTGACTAAGTCTCCTCTTTATCCTAGGACTCTTGTCCCTTATCTTTTATCATCTTATCTCGGATTCTGATATCTTTGGAGATAACCTCGGCCTTGCCGAGATCACCTCGGCGTCACGACCAGGACACGTGGCACCTCGGCTGACACGTCGGTGTCACCTTGCCACGTGTTGGTACTCAGAAAATATATCTCCACAATACCGAACTTAATAATTTTCCATGGGAGGGAAGGCCATGTAAAATACAAGAAATTCTCTCTTTGAATCTCTTTTGTCATCTTGTTCTAAATTATATCTTCGTCATACAATCAAACTATAAAGACTCGTTATATGCATACATAGATTTATATGTACTGTTGGTGTATTTATCAAAATAAATAAATAATTATAGAGTCAAAATAAATATGGATAATAATTATTACCATGAGAAGACACTGAATTTATGTGCTTTGGCAAATTTGTTTACATCCACGGATATTATCCCTCGTCTCCTATAGTAAATATGTGTTACATATCATATCTCCAAATATATGAATATATAATAAATCGGATTAAGGTGCAGTAATCTCTCTCTTTCTCTTTAAAGAGATTCAAGCCTTTGTCGATTTGTAAAACTATCACTTCCAATGCGACAAAATATCACATATCAGTCTGTCTCTCTCAAGATACAACAACTCGATTTTTAGTCTTGTTAACTCAACTAATCTTGCACAAGTAGGTGAGTCTAAAACTTTACCACAAAAAACACCTTTACAAGTTATCTGATTATATCAGTAAAACATGAATAATCACAATAATTAATCAACTCTACACCACCATCAATGTATGTAACTCACAACTTTAAGTCACATGTATTAATTACTTGATACGTTCTGTGCCCAATGACCATGGCATATGGACAGCTTAACCATTGTGTAAATTACACCATCAAGCTTTCAATGATTATAATGCAAATCATATTCAACACAAAGAGTTACAAACTCGTGAAATACTTGTATTAATATCTGTTTATATTAAAATAATTTGTGAATTATTAAAAATAAATGTAAACCCTATTCGACAACCAAACACATACCAAAAAAAAAATGTACACAGATTATAAAAATAAATAAATAAATAAAATGTAAGTTTCACGTTACCATCGTTTGAGGGATTAATTAAGTAGTTGACTAATTCGTGTGATAGAGGTAGGACCAGGTGTGAACTAATTCGTGTGATAGAGGTACGTAATTGCTCAGATGTTGCAAATTTCAACCACTTGTTTTGTGTTCTTTTACAGTTTTACCCTTTCAATCAACGAATGGTAAAAAATGTGTACTTTCGAACAGTTTTGGAAATAAAAAATCATCACACAACTTTTTTTTTTTTGGTGAATAACCATCACACAACTTTGTTCTAGCCTTCGCACAATAAAGTGAGGTATGCCTTCATTAATTATATAGAGAGAGAGAGAGAGATAGCAAGTATGCATGCTAACAAACTGTTTGGATTGGATGATTTAAAAAGAAAAAATGCATTTGTTTGGCTTATATTACCTACTTAGATAAGTAAAAATGAGCGAAATCAAATGAAAATGAAGATATATTTCTCTTATAACCCTCATATTGAATCTCTATAAAAATGAAAAGATTGAAAGAGAAAATAAAGCAATAAATTATTATTTTTTCATAAAAAATCTATATTCATACAAAAACTCTACAAAAATGACGTGACAATATCATTTTTATAAATAAATTTATCCTTACAAGTGTTTTGTTTAAAAGTGAAATCTACATAAGCCACATCATTTTGTATGCATTTCTATTTATATATCATTGCTCTCTTTTTCATAATAAAATTATTCCTTTAGATATAGAAGGGGAAAAAATTGACAGCTATAAAAAGTTATTTTAACCATATATTATAAAACAATTTATTTTATTTTATTTTTATGTAGTTTAACTAAATAAGATAAGAGATAAATCATTATTCTTCTATTTTTTATTTTATTTATCCAAACAAAAGAAAGAGAAAATAAAAAATTTTCCCTTTTTCTTTTCTCCTATGTTAATTATGTAATAATTTATTTTCTTTTCTCTTTGAAGTTTCCGAACATGAAAAATTATGCGGTGATGTTGGGACAAATTTATATGGTGCTCCTACTTAATTTTATTGGTTAAAGTTGTGCAATTAGGCCTCGTTTGACAAGTGGCTTTTTAGTCAAAAAATTACTAAAAAAATCAAAAAGTCAACAACTTATATTAAAAAGTCAAAGTTTTTTTTTTTTTTTACTTTTTGCACATTTTTTCGTAAAAATCAAAAAATTATCCCAAACATACTAATTTTTTTATGTCATATTTTAACCAAAATGTTAAAAAATTACTTAAAAAACCTATTCCTAAACGAGGCATTAGTACTCTTTGTTAGGATTTTGAGAAATAACCTGACTTGAGAAATAACTTGACAATTGTTAAGTAATGGGGTGTTTGGTGGAAATTATGGGGGCAACTTATAACTTATTTTAATATGAAAGCTTGTTTTAAATTGTTTGTGTAATTTATGTTTATAACTTATTAAGCAGAAATAATTTAAATAAACTATAAAAAGTTAATTTTTTAGAAATTGATAAGAGGTGCTTTTAATTTCTATATTTTAATTATCAATTTTTAACTTGAAATAATCCCCACCAAGCACTCCCCATAAATGACGTAGGGTAATGACCCAAAACTCCTACCAAGGGTTAAAAAGTGTTGCTATTGGACTTTGGATCTTTCACACGAAACTACCCACTGTACACTTCACACATTCATGAAAAAGTAGTTTTGTAAAATCACCCCACACTCCCACATCATTCCAATGATATAAGTAACCCCCAAGCCCCCCATAACAAACACCAAGCCAAAGTTCACATACATTCTCATTTCCACTCACTATCAACTCTCTCCCCTTCCTTTCCCTCTCAACAGAGTTTTTTTTTTTGTTTTTTCCTCTGTTACCCACTGTACACTTCACACATTCATGAAAAAGTAGTTTTGTAAAATCACCCCACACTCCCACATCATTCCAATGATATAAGTAACCCCCAAGCCCCCCATAACAAACACCAAGCCAAAGTTCACAAACATTCTCGTTTCCACTCACTATCAACTCTCTCCCCTTCCTTTCCCTCTCAACAGAGTTTTTTTTTTGTTTTTTCCTCCGTTTGGCACAAGAAATATATGGATCAAATCAAGCAACACAACAACCAAACTCTGGTTCAATTCAGCCAATTCCACATCTCAAGGAAATCAATCCAAATTCTACTCTTCTCCATCTCTTTATTTTCCTTCCTACTTTCTTGTTCCCCATTGGGTCATTTTCTCAGTTCATTTTCCATGCAACTCTTCAGCTACACCAGTGATAGAAACTACATGTTTCTTTTCTGCAATGGAATTCTTGTTTTCTTGATTAAAAACTCCGGTATGACCGACACTTGTTCATCGAGTACTGATCCCAATTACGAGCATGCAAAGCAGGACAAAAATGAAGATGAGAGAGAAAGAGAATGTGAGAATTTGGTTACAGATGGAGATGGTGAAAGTGAAATCTTGACAACCCAAGAAGGTGGAATTGAAGAAGAAGAAGAAGAAGAAGAAGAAGAAGAAGAAGGTGAAAATGAAATCTTGACCACCCAACAAGATGGAATTGAAGAAGAAGAAGAAGAAGAAGAAGAAGAGGAAGAGGAAGAGGAAGAAGAAGAAGAAGAGGAAGAAGATGGATTTGTTGTTTATCATGAAGAAGAGGAAAATGGGTTGTTGAGTGCAGAGGAATTGAACAAGAAATGTGACGATTTCATTAGGAAAGTGAAAGAGGGAATCAAAATTGAAGCTCAACAACTGATCATAGTTTAGATTGTTCTGTTTTGTTTCATATTCCTTTTTTGTGTAATTAGAAATAAAAATAATGAAAAAATTCAAAAACATTTTAGACTCTGTTTAGAAATTGTTTTTAACAGGTTTTCGTTTGTATCTAAACATTACAAAGCTTTTTTTTTTGACTAAAATACGAAAAAAAAAAAAATGAAAACACAAATATAGTCCTGATATATATCTAAAGGTAAACAAAATTGGACTAAAAAAAAAAACTAAAATATGAAAAAAGTTCGTTAAAAACAAACGCGTCTAAAAATAATTTCTCAACTTAAATTGTTTTCCATATTGGTTTTTATTTTTGTATAAAAAAATAATTTTCAAAAATTCTAAAACAATATTTTGGTGTTAAAGTAGATTTTTTTTTTGTATAAAAAAAATAATTTAAAAAGATAAAAACAAAAAATAAAAACAACACCAAACAGACCTAGCATAAGTGATTCTGTACTCTCTTTGCCCCTTGTGTAAAATTTTTTTCATAATTATAAAGTCTTGTATGAAGAACATTTGTTATTTGAATATTTTATTTGACTATTATACCCTCTCTTTCTCTTTCTTTTACAGCACTCTCTCTCTCTCTTCCTTATTGTCGGCCAGTAACCACTATTTTTACTGTCAAACCACCACCATCTCAGATTTGATACATACGACTCATATTTGAAATCAATAACTTGAGATCTGAGATTAAAAAAAGCTTAGATTTGACAGAAAAAAATGAGAAATCGAGATATTACAATGAAAAATCAAGAGTTTTTTGTTTGTTTGTTTGTTCATAGATCTAAAGTAAAATTTAACTCTGATTCATTCACTTAGTATGTACTATATTTTTTGTAACACTAAAATTTTACTCTGGTTAACAATATGCTCATCTGCTTAACGACAGTAAAACTTTACTTTGAATCATAGTAAATGTTACTCTGATTCAAAGTAATTTTTTTTATTTTATTACAGAGTAAATTTTTACTCTGAATTAGAGTAAAGTTTAATATGATTCCTAGTAAAATTTTACTCTAAAACAAGCTGCGATGATAACTTTACAGGAGAATGCTGCGTCATGAACAAGAGTAAAATTTTACTATTCAAAAAACAGAGTATCATGAGAAAAAGAAAAACAGATAAGGAGATAGAGTTTGAAAATAGAGGATCATGAGAAAGAAAAAGAAGAAAAAGAAGAGAAAAAGAGAGAGAGAGATCATAAATGATGAGTGACACACACACACACATTGAGAGAGCACGAACCATTAGAACCCAAGAGAGGGAGAGAGTGAAGGATCTCATATCTGAGATTTGCGAACCGTCATTTTTCGGCTATGACGGCTGTGAATGATCTTAGATTTGAGGTTGTGGATGCGACGAGTGACGGTGGCGATGAAGATGGTAAAGAAAGAGTTCTATGGTGAGCGGCGATGGAGTCGATATAGAGTGGCGATGGCACTGATGGAGAGCAATAGTGATAAGAGCGAGATAGAGAGAAGAGAGATTAGACAAGAGAGCGTGATTACAATCTGACACACACACACACACACATATATATACTTTTATATATGTGAGCACATTACTTGGTGTCTAATAGTGTGGTGGCTTCTCTTTCTGTCACGTGACAAATTTTCCTATCCTAAAATAAAAAAATATTATTCAAAGACGTGAGCAAGATTTGAACCTAAGACCTTAAGTTTCATTAAGAACACTTTTACTATTTGGACAACATACATATTATTATATTAATTTTTTTATTATTTATTTTTATACTTACTTATCTGAATTGCACACGTATTGCGTATGCTACCCACCAGTATATATGTGTGTGTGTGTGTGAGGGTGTTACAGTAAAAAAATAAATTTTAAAATATTAGAGGGTTTTGAAATGATCCATATAATTCTTATCATTTTAAAGAACAAGTTAGATACAGAGAAGTCTATCATCAAATCTCCCTTCTTTTAACTTTTTTGGTTGAGTCCCAATTTTTTCATAAAATGAGGAGAGAGAAGCCCAATTTCACCACCAGCACTTTGGTTTGGGCTAAAATCTTTATAACGACAAATACAAGTGGGCTGTGTGGCCCAATAAAAATGCAATGAGGCCCAACCTGATGAAAGAAGTCTAGTTGGATGGAGTAAAAATAAATAAATAAATAAACCTCTTTCCCAAACAGTTACAAAGGTGAATAAATTATAAAATAAAATAAAAATATATTTCTATTTGGACAAGTTTAATATGAGAATTAGAGTTATACAAATTTATTTTTGGGTAAACACCAATTGAGATGTTCATTTTATACTATAGTATAGATTGTAATGATAAGTAGTCCTGATATACAAATAGAACAATTATATAAAATTATTTGATAACCTTTGATTTTATCATTTTAAAGCAAAAGACTCATTAAAGTAACTTATATTTTTCAAAAAATGTCACTATTATATAATTCTGGCTAAATTTTTTTCTATATGAATATCATTTTAATAAAAGATGGAGGGGTTTGTGAAATAAAAAAAAAAAAGTTAAATAAGTTTTATAAATAATAAAAAGAAACGAAGTAGTCCTTCAAAAACTAGTTATGAAATAATGGTTGGAAAATTTTAATTGAAATCCGATTGGTATTAATAAATAGAGAGACCCACACACTATATGAATCAAAACATAAATAACTTAGAAAGGTAATATGAAATAAATTTTTAATTATATATGTATAAATAAAATATTATTTTCACCTCTTACCTCATAATATTTAATTTGAAAATAATTAGAAAATCAAACATGAGCTGAATTTATAACCAAGCTTAAAAAGGCAATTGATTTGACCATGTGACTTTGTATTCACACCCAAATAAACAAAAGAGAAAGACTATGTAATGTAATGTAATATAATATAATATAATAATGTTAATACCTAAGTTCTAACAACCAAATATATATAATTAAATTACCATTCAACAACCCTGCAACAAATACAAATAGTTGAATGAGACTGTAGCACGTTAAACCAGTTAAACTTTTTTATATACATATATATTTCAAATTTCTTTTTGAGTATAAAAATTACATGTTTTATTTTTTGTTTTTATTTTATTTTATTTTTTCTGATTCTTTTAGAAGGATCTTAAAAAAAGAAAAAATTAATCTAAGATCCTTCCCCAACTTTTGATAGGAGGAGAGATCCACAATAATATGTTTTGATGGCTAAGGTCCCTTTACCTTATTTTAGGTTATAAAATACCTAATTTACCTTTCTTTATAACATAAGTTTGTTTGGATTTTGACAAGTTGAATATTGTATTGCTGACTTCACGGTAGAGATTTTGAAAACTGACTTCACAGTGGAGATTTCATCGGAGATTTCGTAGGGATTTTACAAGTGTTGCAGTGGACTTGACGATAGAGATTGTTATGATTGTGTAGGTGTTACAATGTGTTGATCACGTAGGTTTTTCGGTGGAGTTGAATCAGGTATGTTTTCGATGAAGATTCCACATGGATTTTGATTTTTGTTTTAAATTTTATGTAAGCATTCTGATTTCATATTAGTTTTTCGAGTGTATTTTTGCATTAGGTTTTTGTTTTCAGTTTTGATCAATTTAAAAGAGAGGCTAGCTCAGTGAAGTTGTTCATGATTTTTAGAATTGATTTTTCATTCTCTATTATTGATCAATTTTAGAGAGAGACCAGCCTGATAGAGTTGATTTTTATTTTTGGAATTCATTTTCATTCTCTATTTTTTGATCAATTTCAAAGAGTGTTGACAGTATAGTTGATTTTGATATTTGGAGTTCATTTTTTGTGCTCTGTTTTTCATCAGCATGCTGATCAATGATAAGTTTTGTTTTTTATTTTTTCAAACCAGAGAAATTTTTTTACACCAGAGAAATTTCATTCTCTGCACTTTTGTACTATAATCCAGAGAAAATTATAAGTTTGTTATTATAATCCAACGAAAATCACAGAGAAAATTATAAGTTCATATGAACATATTATTAAAAATTTCTAATGCAGATAGAATCTGAAAAGGTGAATGTAAGTTCTTAAATTTTTCTGGACTTTTATTTGTACTTCAGAGAAAATTATAAGTTTGTTATTCACTTTTAGTTTGTAGTTCAGAGAAAATTATAAGTTTGTAGATAGTGAATATAAGTTTTTGTTTCTCTGAGCAAAAGTTATTTTTTGTGTTTTTTCTTTCAGTTTAGATGGACAGTGCTGTATTTTTTGTTATCTTGAAGGTGTATATAAGTTTGTAAATTTATCTGGATTTTGATATGAGTGCAATATTGCAAAATGACGCAGAGAAAATTGTAAGCTTGTAGTTCAGTGAAAATCACAGAGAAACTTATAATTTCATAACAGATTTATGTGGTTTTTGTCTATGATTATGTTTAATAGTTAGTAGTAAATTTCTCTGTGATTCTCTCTGGATTTATTAAGTTTTCTGTGATTTTGTTTTTGTTATCTTGAAAGTGAATATAAGTTTGTAAATGTCTCTGAACTTTTATTTAAGTCTAGAGAAAATTATAAGCTTGTTATTATAATGCAGAGAAAATTATAATTATTAGAAATTTCTCTGAACTTTTATATTGTTCTTGTGAAGTATTTTTATGTTAAACAAATTATTTTTCTTGTTTTTTCTTTCAGTTTCGATGGACAATGCAGTATTGTTGCTGTGCAAATATGGGAATGATACTATTGTCATTAATGTTTCATGCGAATTGAATTTTGAGGAATTGGTTGGCATTTTGTGTAAAATATGGGAGAATTTGAAACCTAAGACGATGTGTATTTCATATTCTATTGTGGGCCATCTGAATTGTATGGTTCGAAATAATATTGATTTTTTTGAATATGTTGAAGGTTGTCTGTGTACGTGGTGTTGATATAGTTGATGTTTCAGTTACTAGGTGTAGTACTTCTGATCAAGAAGATGAAGTGGGATCTAATTGGGTAGATGTTGTACATGGTGAATGTGATAGGCTGGTGGATATTGAAAGGAATTCACTCTCTAAGTTTTGTTCTCACCAAGAAAATGTGTTATTGTCAGCTAGTTGGCGAAATAATATTACGAGTGTTGGACAAAAGTTTG